TGATTGGCCCAAAGTCACCCAGGTGGCTTTCATGCCTAAGGCGGGACTAGAACTCACTGTCTCCTGGTGATTGGCTCATAAGTCACCTAGCCAACTTTTCATGCCTAAGACAGAACTAGAACTCTCAGTCTCCTGGTGATTGGCCCAAAGTAACAGCCAGCTCTCATGCCTAAGGCAGAATTAGAACTCACCATCTCCTGGTGATTGGCCCAAAGTCACCCAGCTGGCTTTCATGTCTAAAGCGGGACTAGAACTCACTGTCTCCTGGCGATTGGCTCCAAGTTGCCCAGCCAGCTTTCACTGCTATGTTTCTTACTGGAGCTGAAGCTGGGTTGGAAACGGCACCGGAAAGGCGCACCCCACGTGCGGCGGAGAGTGTGCCGTTTTACATCTGGAGCGTGCAGGAATAGCAGGGGTGTCTCCCCCCAAAACCCCCCACCCACCCCAAGATTCCTCCCCCTTGGCCCTTACCGCTGGAGTCCCCATTAAGGCTTCCTGAAACGAGATCGGCTTCGGCAGAATTGCTGGATGTGTGAGACCGGCTGTCTAACGCTGCCAGGGACTGCAACATGCTCAGGAGGCTGTTGGAGGTCGGGAACTGCAAATATTTCTCCGGCACGTAGCCCACGTGGCCTGACTTATTCCGGGCCTGCGAAAGCGGGGGAAAGACCGAACACGCTCGGCGTTAAGAAGGTCACGTTGAAGGCAGGGTATAAAATAAAATAAAATTTAAAAAGACAATCAGCGGCCTGCTACGGCCCGCCACAAAGAGAGGAAAAGCGAAATGATACCTTTACCCAGTCTTCCATATCCCCATCTTCGATCACTTCCAAGACCTCGTGTTCCTCAATGGTTAATTCGTCCGGCTGCGAAGCCTGTGGGGAAGAAAAGGTATGTAAAAAAGGACAAGAAGGGGCCACGGAAAGGACAACAGAGATCTCCAAAGTTGGCCACCCAAAGACCTGCGGACTTCCACTCCCAGAATTCCTCAGCCGGCCATCTTGCAACTTTAAAGGCTGGTGGAATTCAACTCCCAGAATTCCTCAGCCGGCCATCTTGCAACTTTAAAGGC